AAAAAAAAAAATGCAGTATATAGGGTATATAATGGAGAAATATTTATCATTTTGTCAAATCGATGATATTTTGTCGTGTTGTCAGCTTGGTTTATTACGGGGATACTTTGTAGGTTTGATATGATCAGGGACTTTTGTCAATTTGGCTTGGTATTCATTATTAATTCAATAATCAGTGGTTACGGGATCCATCAGTTTAGTGTTGATGCTTGATGTTAGAAAGTGATGATCATAATTTATGTGGATATCACGTCTGGCTTGTAAGCTGCAGGGTACAATCGTACGTTGAGGAGAATAACTTGACGAGTTCGTTCGTTGTTCATGATGGTTTGGTGAACTTGAACATCTACATACAGACTACAACATACCCTAAATTCTAATACATACAGTATGGATTACAATCACGTTTTGGCTATTCACGTACACCCGTACAGGTATTACATATGTTAGTAGTTTGGTTATAGGGTGCAATTGTGCAAAGGATGGAAGGAGGTATATGGCGATAAATTGATAAAATTGTCTCTCTCGTAATAAAAAAATATTTTTCAGTTTACAATGCCAAATACAAAAAAAAATTCTTTTAAATGTACTTAGAATTCTGTCTAGACTTCCCTAGGGCCAAAATAGTGGTGCAGAACATACTGCAAAGATGCTCATGAGTTGGTCTGCAAAGACGCTCATGAGTAGGTCTTAAAAATGCATAATCAAGTAGATAATAAGGTTGCTCGAACAGGTGGTGATGTCTGTGAAGGCGTTTCTATGGTATTGGATGTTGGGGAAAGAGGTGAGTAGGGGTCACAGATTCAGTGAATTACTACATATGTGGGGACATTCAGTAACTGTTATAGGCTGAGTGTGGCGAGGACAATGGATGTGTTATGAAAGTTGACAGGGATTTCTCTTTTAAGTTATTGAGTAAGTGTAAGGGGACCATAATGGTGTTATCTGTAATGGTTTTTGTCATTCTTGCTCGAACATGTACCACAAATCAGAGCAGGTTTGATCCGAAATAGTAAGATGTATAGTATCATTCAATTATTGGTTTACTCAAACATTTCAATCAGGCACTGAGAGGTATGAAATTAAGTCATAATCCACCCACCTATCCACAGTTGTGTAACTTTCTAGTTCTAAAGACATTCCAGAATTTATGTCTACAAAAGAGCTAGCTCCCACATGAAACAAATGATACTTTGGTCATATCGAGTGTATTCTCATAGCTAGCGTCCATAAGATATGACAGTCAAGGTGAGAACTGATACATAATTGTACAATTGTGTGTGCGCTTGGGTTTGATAGGGTCAGCAGATGTTTGTTTTAATTGGGTGAATTTATGATTGTCCACCTGTTTTAATTGTGAATTTGTGATTGTCTACTATTTTCAATCAAATTTGTGATTGCTTGTTTTTTTGCACTTTGAGGGTGGTCAAACCACCATTGACTAGGTCAGGCTATATAATCTTTTATTTAATTTACTTTTTTTTTTT